AGGCACAGGGGCGCTGGGGTGTGCTTCTGCGCGGCCGCTGGGGTGCTTGCCGTAAATGGCTTGAAACTTCATCGTTATTTGTGGTTTAACAAATTTCGCGGGCTTTAAGGTAGAATGAGCCGAGGCGATGGCCGCAGCGGGGCGGGAGGGGGCTGCGTGCCCTTTCCCCGGAGCTGGTTCGCTTACAAAGAGGAGAGACGCCTCCTCCTCCCTGCCGCAGGCGGCGTGGGCTGGGTCGCTAGAGAGTGCCTTTGCTCAGACCTCTGAGTGGGGGTTTTAGGAGTAACGGAAAGACAAGAAAATGTTGGGGGAGGGGGGGTAGAAAGCCTTTTTTAATATTTCTTAGTGTGAAAACTGCTTTTTGCTCGTCATTAGGCCTGTGTCTTGTGCCTGCTGCCATTTTTGCCGTTCCTTGCTGTCCCTTGCGGCCTCTCTGCTAACCAAGACGCACACGTTTTGGAGCCAGTGGAAGCACTTTAGCGTTTCAGGCTGGAGGAGCGTGTTCTCCCAACAGCTTCCAGTGGAAATGCAATGAAACGCCCATCGGGGGTTCCTGCAGAGGTTAACCCGGAGCACGGCGGTCTCTCCCAGCTGGGAGGAGAGGGGCTGGCCGGCGCTGCACCCCTCGGGGCAGGCTGCTGCTCCAAGGGGCGGCCGTGCCCCCAGGGAGGAGGGCACGTCCCGTGAAAAAAGTTGGGAGTTTGGGGAAAGCAGGACGAGAAGGTCAGTGCAATAGAAGCCTCAGTCTAAAGTGTATGAATGTGTCCCATTAAAATACAGCGTGATATCTGGAAAGGTGACATGGTCCTTGGCACACACGTATGCGTGTAAAGAAAGAACTGAGGGAGGAGAGGAGGCTTGGAGCCACAGGGAGTGGTTTGTTTGTTCTTTGCTGGTTTTGGCCCGTTTGGGATGTATTTATTGCACGTTAAAATAAATCCTTTCCCCTCGCAGAGAGTGGCAAAGAATCGAGTAGATCCTCCTGCCCACCGACCTTGATTTTACACACGGAGAGGAAGAGTACCCCTGCGGAGAGCGATGGCGATAAGGTCTGCAACGGCATTTCTTCCTTTATAAACCTCTTTAAACTATTGAAGCGCACAGATCGGAGTCAGGATAAAGGACTGTCCTCTGGCTGGAGCTGTGCTGGTGATACGGGATTGTTTCCTGCCGTCGATTTTCAAGAGCTATCTATTTAATTTATCTTGGTGCTTTATAGGGGCTCTGTCACCGTGGTGCCAGAGCGTCAGAGGAGGGATGCTCGCAGCTGGTTTTCTCCTCGTGCTGGAGGAGAAGCGAGTCGAGGCGGGGTGGGGGGCTGAGAGTACAAACGTGGAGCTGTGACACAGCCCAGGTCAAAATTTGTGTGCTGAGGAGCTGGAGTGCAGAAGCAGAGTGTCTGTGATCTTTCTCCGGCTCACTGTGGAGCTGGGTCAGCCCCTGCTCAGAGCGGGGTCAGCTCGCTGGACCGCGTGCCGCTTATCGCCGCGTCAGCCCCAGGTCCAAGGAAGAGTGTTTTCATGGCCCTCAGCTTTTTGGTGTTGCTCGTTTAACTGTGCTGGGCGCTTCTGTAGCCCTCCTTTACAGATAGTTGCACAGTCCTTCAATAAAACGGGACAGGTGGACGTAAACGGAGAGCAAATAGCGTGTGCAGCTTACAGATGGGCAACACTACGTGTGTGTGGAACTTCATTAGCATTTTATTAGAAACCCTAGGTTATTGTATAAAGGAGAAGGACCTAAATCGTACTCCCAGCTTCTGTGAAACATGGAAATGTTCGCTTTCTGCACAGCTCCTGCAGACATCATGAAAACAGCTAAAGCTGATAGAGGGAAACCTTTACCTGAGCATGGGGGTGTGGAAAGAGCATGTCGGGCTCAGGGAGATGCTCGAAGATGCCCTGGAGCAGGCGTGGTCTGTTCCCCCGCTCTTCTGCGGTGGGGACAGGAGGGCAGCCGGGTCCCCTCCGTCTCAGGGAATTGCTGCTGGCTGAAGCCAGGGACGGTCGCTCTTGCCAGAACCGTCGTGTCTTTGGGAAGTCCCAGAAAATCCCCTCGGAAGCGAGGAGCCGGCGAGGGCGCTGAGCTCTGCGGAGCAGGGTGTGCTCCCCGGCCTGGCTCAGCCGCTCCCGTGCCGGTGGTTCCCTTCGGACACGCGCTCCCTCACACACCGGAGCTGGTACCGGTGTTTTCTTGCACCCCACACCCCTT